GGAAGTTCATATTCCAAGGTTGAAAACAGTCGTTCATCTTCTTCCGTAGAAGGCTCTCTTAGGTCATCAGGACTTTCCTGCCCTTGATCTCCTTTCTTCTTCCTCTTACTGCTCCCAGCAGGACTAAGGCCAACATATTCAATCATATCATAAATCAGAAAAATCATTTTGAGAATATATTTCTTAGAGGGTCTGTAGTCAAAATTTAAACAAAAGGATTTAACATACAACTAAAACGACAGCAAACGGGCTTGTAGCACGAGCAAAGACGAACCTACAGATTGCATATCTGATGAAGATGGACAGAGGCCACCAAAAATTCAGAGAGGAAAATCACATCGGATTACAATATCCTTAGAAATGTCTCCAAAATGTCTGAAATGTCAGTCACATCAAGAATACAGCATACAATTCCCACACATTTTTAGGTTTGTCCTTTTAATTCCTTCAGCCAAATAATAATTTTGCGATGTACTACCTGGTATTTTTTGTCTTTCCACCACTGTTGTCAGATGCAGAAAGGGTCCGTGTTGATCTTTTCTCGGACAATCTCCTGGCAAACTGATCAAATTCATCCTGTGATGGAAGCCAGTCTTTTAGTGCGTCCGCAATTAACTTCTCCACCTCCGCCTGTTCATTCGGTGTTCTGTTGATGTTCATCAGGAGCTCCTTGATTTGACTTTCAGATGCTGTCTTCAAAAGAAATAAAAGGCAGTCTTAATCACAGTAAATGATGCAAATGCATAACAAGAAAATTGGAATCCGGATTTTTTTCTCACGCCAGCTTAAAATGGTTCTAATATATTTGTTGTCTACTGATAATTTAGGATAGTTACGTTCTAAATACCGTCTTACTTTCGTATTTAGATGTGATACCTTCCTTCTTTACAAACACAATTATTGCAGCGGACTTTTAGGCCCCGTCCACACTACTTCGGAGGAATTTGAAAACGGAGATTTCACTCTGAAAACGCATCAAATGTTTTGCGTCCACAATACGTCGGAGGAATTTAAAAACGCAACAATCACTTTTGGATTTGTGTTTGAGGCAAACTTGGTCAGGAATATTGCATGGTTATTCATGGTGACGCCATCCATCGTTTGCAAAAAGCTCCGTTTTCAAAACGTTTTGACTTTTCCGTGCACACTAAAACGAAAAGCCGGCGTTTTCAATTTTCTCCGGTTTCAAGAGTGTTTTCGAAAAGCTCCGTTTTCGTGACGAACCAGTGTGGACGCTGCCTTAGTTTTGTATTTAATTTCTTCACCTTGGTGTAAGTTGACAATGTCGAGTGCCTTTAGCCTGGCACCAACCTTGACACTGATAACGTCTCTTTCCCCTACTTTTGTGCAGGATGGTACAAGAAGCTAACGTGGTTGGGGAGCATTATACGCGATTTCTTAGTTTTGCGACTACAATTCATCAGTCTTGATGCAATTCAGCACTTTGCCACCAGATACGTGTACAGACCATGCTGGCGTCAAGGACTCTTACTACACTTTTCTCTTCACTATTCCAGTGTACCTGTTGTTGAACCTTTCCTTCATTATCTCACTGGTTCTTCTATCTAAGTGAACCTTTTTTTGGTATGCTTCGGGAGCAAACATATCGGGCGAGTTTGGTCGAGCCATGGTTCGTATGTTGGGGTCGACAGGTCTCGCCAGAATACCCATGGTGAGATCAAACGAGCCTGATGTGCTACCGAAGCGTACCAAAAAAGATATGATTAGGTATTTACCGTACCAAAATTCGGCCAAGTGATATGCATGATATCGTAGCCACATCAGGTCATCCGTGACTTGATATCGCAGGATATCAGCAGAGCAGACATGGCTTCTGATTGGCTAATTGCCAATATGGTTACGATGAAAGGAGATATCAAACACAACCCTCAATGCAACAAGACCTGATGTTCATTGCAAAGGCTCTAAAAGACAGGCGTCAAATTTTTGATGAAAGTACTGTCTAAACAAAGTGGCTACACTGAGGTAACAACTTGGGAATTAATGGAAGTTGTTATAACTCCCAATTCAAATACGTTTTCTGATCATCGGAGAACTTGTCACGTGTCGTGGGTCAAAACTCACTAACCCCCTAGGGCGAACAAAACTCATAAACTCCCTAGGAAAACAACAACTTGAACTTTCGACTCGCACGTGATCAGGCCGTGCTCCTTGAAACCGCGGCAAAATTGTGAGCCAGCCGGCGTCAAGCAAACGATTTCTTTGCATTTGTTTTTTTTCTATTTTTGAGTTGGGAAGCATAACAAAACACTTAACGACTGGTTCCACGGTCGGAAACAGAGAGTCTTGTTTCCCTTCGACCTTAGTGTTACCTTCGGCTTCACCTCGGGGAACATTGAGGGTCTTGGGGAAACAAAACTAGCTATTTCCCTTGGGGCCAGTGATTAGGTGCTTATATCACACATAATGCCACGCGGTGTGACTGGGGGGTATAGACTATACCCATGATTCACAACAGCAACAACAACAACAATGTATTATACAACTCCAAATACCTCCAAGAACATCTTCGCATTGAAAACACTGGCACGTTTCAGTTTATCGTAAGCTTCCTTCACTTGATCTTGTATTTTCTGTAGTTGCACTGTCAATTTTGTTTTTTGTGTGTTTAGAGGTTCTTGCCACACCCGGGCCACCTTTAAATGAACACACTACACCATTAAGTTTCCGAGGACATAATTTTTCATACAAATCAACTGTAATTTTTGGCCAATGAATGATAAATCAAATTGTTCATGTAATAACGCTATTAACCTCCCCTGGTGGATAGGTCTCCAAGCACCGGATAACAATATTCAAAAATTCACTAATTATTATTTATGATAAAAGACTTTCCCTATTTCCTCACTTCAAATAGAAAATTGAAATGTGACAATGTAAGTAGAGTGCAGAAAAGAATACTTGTTTGATCACGCCACCTTCTTACAATCTTTGATCAGACCTACTCATACCACTTGCAATCACCACCTTTCAAGATTTCTGTCTCAACTTCTCGCTACACTACAACACACCTAATAGGGTTTGTAACCAGCATTTTCTACTCTTACCTTTGTCAAAAAGCGGTCTCTCAATTTATTTGAACTTGACCGTCCTCCAACACGAAGAATACTAGGTGATGAATCTAAGCACATCTCCAGGAAATGGTCTAATGCATTATTCTTATAGGTGACAACCTATGAATATACAGGCCGTATATAGTTGTTGTAGTAAATTATACACCCTTAAGAGAAATGATATTTAATTCATCTTGGGTAAGTTCTGTTAATGGCTGAAGAGATCTTTTGACATGTTTTGCGCTCGGAAATGAATTCTGTACAGTCATGTAAATTACATGTACAGCTGTAAATTATGCATGCTACACGTCATTAACAACGGTCAAATCTCTACTTGCAACCACCCACATAAGCAACAAACTCCAGCTTTGTATACCGTTGTGAAATTTTCACTCAAAACTCATGATCAGCAAACAAAATCTCACAATGTAAGTAACTGCTCCTGCCAGCAGCTGCGACCACCTTAAGGAATTACCAGCACTTGAAGAAAAAGAACATCGCCAATATGCAGTGCTGAGAAAGATCTTAAATTTAAATTGCAAAGTCAAGTGGTTGTATTTACTTGTGACTCAAACTATTTTCGAACCTGAAATGCAGTCAGAGTGAACAACTTTTACAGAGACTACCGCTTAAATGCCATTTGTGTTTAATCCCAAAAGTACAGGTTTTTTTAGAGCAGTTGTAATACACACAGACAGATAAATATTTTCATGACATACTGCTGTTTGGCCAGCAAATTGTTTCCCTCACTGCAAGAGAGAGAGATTTCTTCCTAACAAAAGACTGTTAGGTAAGTTTATTCTCTGCTTTTAAAAGTGGTCAATGCTTACCAAGATAGGTCCAAACGTTTTTGGAACGCACATTGATAATAAAAGACGGACAAGAATCACACCTACGAAGGATTTTCCAGTTCCTGGTGGACCCTACATGCAAGATAGAGAAAATATAAAATGAATTTAGATGCTAGGTCTATTGATGTCATTTCAAATTAATTTTAGAAACCTTTTATGAAGTAAGTATATAAATATCAAAACAGTCATTTAGCTCACAAAATTTTGAAGTAACAAAGATCTATACAGATACTCTTTACACTGTCTAGAGTCTTAATGTCAGTCACTTACTTATTTTGTAGTTCTTAGAATGTGATTAATATGCATTAGGTTTTACGAGAATCCATTGCAAACTCATGAAAAGAAATGGGATCCCAAACTTGCCATGCAATTTTTGCAACGAAATGCATGCCGGGTAACAAAAGTTGCCCCGGCCCACTGTAATTGTAAAAATTGTCAAGTTTAGGCCACCAAATTTTTTTGAGTTTGCACCAGATTCTTATGAAACTTTGCATAGTTACTCAATTTGGCATGATAAATCAAGTGGAGAAGTTTATCTTATGTTTGAATGAAAAAAAAAAACAAAAAAACAGAAAAGCGAGACATCAGTAAAAAAGTCCTAATTGCAATGTCCAACCAAATTGGTAATATGTCCAACAAAAATAGAGATTTCATGGGACACATGCATGTCCTGCAATGTAAGAAAAACTATTCCCAGCATTGTGTATGTGTACCTGAATCAAGGTTAGCTTGTTCTCAAATGCAAGCTCAACCGCCTCAAGTTGAGTGTCATCAAGCTTTTTTCCAACATTGCTGCACTTAAACCTTTCAAATTCTGTTAGAAATGAGTAGGTTGAAGACTGGTCTTCAGGTGGAGATAGGTCAGAGTCAGGTGGAAGTACAGGTTGGCCAGAGCTGGGTGGAGGTGGGTCAAATATGATTCCCCAGTCAGGAAGAGAGCTTATTTTC